ACTTGGAGAAACCTATGATTTGAATCTTCCAGGTATGGTCATTGATATTCTGAAACCCTCAAGAGTATGCATTGGATTGCAAGGCTGTTGTCTTTAGGAAAAACTGTATTTTGCATTAGAAGGTGATATTACTTTGCTCTTTGTCATTTTTTTTCTAAAACAAATTTTGATCACCCCTTGGGAAAATGGGTGGTTACATACAATGAAAAGAGAAAACTACTAATAATTTTGAAATGATTACTCCCTCCCTATATATTTAGTTTCAGAGGTAGACCAAATTACTTGCTTGTCCAAAACTCCCAGCATCTCAATTTGACCTTGGGTATGAGCTGCAGTCAATTTAAAAGGTCCTTTGATGTAGGACCTTCTTGGTTGGTAAAGCTGCTTTTTTCTTTGAAAAAACTTTGAAAAACAAACTTTATTTTGCTTCCTTATAGTAATTATACCCTCATGGTTCCTAATAGTTTGTTATTATTTTTGAAAACCTTATTTTTTTACCTGTTCCATGTTTGCATCCTTCTAATTCCTGAGTGTATGCTTAGGCAGAAATTTACTGCTTGCCTTTACTCCTACTTTTCTATATATTTCCATCTCCCTTGTTTTTGACCCATTTCCTTGCTCTAACTCTCAGTACCTCAGTGTCCCAATACTGAAGATTATTCAGGTATATACTAGATAGGATGCTTTTAGTAGGTTGTACAAAAACCAACTCAAACTAGATTAGGCAGTAAAAGTAATTTATTGGCTCATATATTTTTGAAAAGTCTGGCTTCAGGAAAGGATTGATACAGCAATGTCATTATACTTTTTACTGACTCTCAAATCTGCCTTTTTATGGTTTTGTTTCATGCTATACTGATTGTAGGCAGGCTGCCAACAGCAGCCTGGGCTAGATGCTTCCTTATTTATATCCAGTAGTGAGAAAAGAGTGTTTTCTTCCCCAAACCCTTGAACAGAAGTCTCAGGCTTTAAGCTGTTTGGACAAACTGAAGTCACATGTCTAACACTGAACTAGTCACTGTCATTGAGAGTGGAGTGAGATTATCCTGATTGTCTTAGGCAATCAGATTCTGCCCCTAGACCTAGAGGGGGCTTTATCTACTTACATTGCATGGCTGTTGCTTAATGGGAAATGAGAAAAGTGGATTCAGGGTGAGCTGGAGTCACCTCTTAAAGTTTGCGTGATGCGAGTATGTTCATGTCTGCCCAACTCAGTATTCACTACTGACTTCACTTGAAATCAACCATGGTAGGAGTATAGACAACACAGAAATTGTCAAATATTACAAATCAGTTGTGTAGGGTTTTTTTGGGTGGGGAGGTTGGTTTACCGTCTCTGATCATGGGAGACATTCAGTTTTATGTGTGTTAACAGGCAACAACAACAACAAACAGGCAACAAGCATTATCTTAATTAGTTTTCCTAACTTCAGCATTGTTCACCCCTACTTATCCACTTGTAAAAAATAATGGCCATACTGAGATATAATTTACTGAGATTTAATTCACATGCCATAAGATTCACCCTTTTAAAATGTACAATTCAGTGATTTTTTAAAAAATATATCTCCAGTGTCATACAGTCATCACCACAGTCAATTTCAGAACATTTCCATCATCCCCCAAAGAAACCACATATCCAGGTGTACCAGTTAGGTTTCTCTACAGAAACAAACCGAAGCTAAAATCATAGGAAAACCAGTGCTTGAGAACCAGAAGCACCAAAGAGCAGGATAAGATCAACATCTCATCTCGAGCAATCAAGCAAAACAGGCCAATTCTTACTTTCTCTGCCTTTCTTTTATTCAGGCCCTCAACAGATTGGATGATGCCTACCCACATTGGGGAAGGCAAACTACCTTATTGAGTCCATTGATTTAAATGCTAGTTTCATCTGGATACAACCCACAAATAATGTTTAGCCACATATCTTCATGCCTTTTGATCCAATCACACTCATTAATAGTCACTCCTCATTCCTTCCCCTCCACCACCCTCTGGCAAAGCAACTTTCTGTCTTTGTGGACTTGCCTATTTCCAAGGTTCATCTATGCTATAGAACTACCAGTATTTTATTCCTTTTTTTGGCCAAATAAATTATTTCATTGCGTGAATAGACCACATTTTGTTTATACATCCATGAGTTAATGATATGTAAGTTGTTGAGATCCATTTCTAATCATAGCTCTGGGATCCAGTTCTTTTCATCTTCAGTCTTTAGCACCTTCTGCTGCCAGAATACTTCTCCTAAAACATCACATTTATTCTTATCATTCATCTCATCAAAACGTATCATCCTCTATGCCTAGGAGATGCTAAAGGAAGGTGTTGACTTACATGCCAAGCTCTCCTCAGTTCCACTGCAACAGGGGTAGGAATGAGGAGATCCTGCTTCCTACTTAGAGGGCAGTTTGGCAAGTGATGCGCTAATCTCGTTTAAAGGATCTCTGTCTGACCCAAAACAAACAAACAAACCTCAAAGAAATAGAACCCGAACAACACAAAGCAAAAGTCCAAAACTAAGTAGAAAGTGACATGGATATTATGTAGCTTTCAGATTTTATTGTTTATATATTTTATCTTTGAATTATTAAGAATTTCATGAAGGTGCTAGTGTGCTAATGTGTCTTACAAGCAGACAGCTTGAAGCCCTGGCTGAATCACTGGCATTCCTTAGATTCTCCCCTAAGATTTTAAGCAAATGATATTTTCTTGCATGTAAAGTAGGAGTAATGATTCCTACTTCAGAGCCAGTTGTGGATTAAAAGTTATACTCAACTACCATGTTCAGACCATAATAGGCACTCAGTAAATAAATAGACACCATAATTATTATGTGGTTAGAATTTTCAATTGTTTTCAACAAAGCCTATCTAAGATTAGAACTATTTTGGTGTTCTTTCATTGTGTTATAGTTTTGGTGATTTAATTTCAATTTTGTCCTAGTGCTTTAAAGTTAGTATCAATTTAAAGCAGAAATTAGATAATCAGTACAGGGGCTTTATGTTTCTTGTCTGCCATTATCCTTGATGTAATCTGAGTGAATCAATATTTCCTTTGGGAAGTGGCAATGATAGTGCCTTGTTTTATTACAATAGAAGTTTTTATGAAGTACTCTAAGGATGCGTGCATGCTAAGTCACTTCTGTTGTATCTGACTCTTTGCGACCCTGTGAACTGTAGCCAGCCAAGTTTCTTAGTCCATGGGATTCTCCAGGAAAGAATACTGGAGTGGGTTGCATTCCCTCCTCCAGGGGACATTCCCAACCCAGGGATTGAACCTGTGTCTCTTATGTCTCCTGCATTGGCAGGCAGGTTTTTTTTAACCACTAGCACCACCTGGGAAGCCCACTCTAAGGATAAATACCTTAAATATTATACTGGGTTATACTGAGGTAAATTTCTCATAGGATGAACCTTCCAACTTGGCATTTACTTGCAAGTATGACCTGATAGCAGTTATTAAAAATATAACCTGTACAACAAAGGAAGCTATAAGCAAGGTGAAAAGACAGCCTTCAGAATGGGAGAAAATAATAGCAAATGAAGCAACGGACAAAGAATTAATCTCAAAAATATACAAGCAACTCCTGCAGCTCAATTCCAGAAAAATAAATGACCCAATCAAAAAATGGGCCAAAGAACTAAACAGACATTTCTCCGAAGAAGACATACAGATGGCTAACAAACACATGAAATGATGCTCAACATCACTCATTATCAGAGAAATGCAAATCAAAACCACAATGAGGTACCATTTCATGCTGGTCAGAATGGCTGCTATCCAAAAGTCTACAAGCAATAAATGCTGGAGAGGGTGTGGAGAAGAGGGAACCCTCTTACACTGTTGGTAGGAATGCAAACTAGTACAGCCACTATGGAAAACAGTGTGGAGATTCCTTAAAAAACTGGCAATAAAACTGCCATACGACCCAGCAATCCCACTGCTGGGCATACACACTGAGGAAACCAGAATTGAAAGAGACACGTGCACCCCAATGTTCATCGCAGCACTGTTTATAATAGCCAGGACATGGAAGCAACCTAGATGCCCATCAGCAGATGAATGGATAAGAAAGCTGTGGTACATATACACCATGGAATATTACTCAGCCATTATAAAGAATACATTTGAATCAGTTCTAATGAGATGGATGAAACTGGAGCCCATTATACAGAGCGAAGTAAGCCAGAAAGATAAAGACCATTATAGTATACTAATGCATATATATGGAATTTAGAAAGATGGTAACGATAACCCTATATGTGAGACAGCAAAAGAGACACAGATGTATAGAACAGTCTTTTGAACTCTGTTGGCGAGGACAAGGGTGGGATGATTTGGGAGAATGGCATTGAAACATGTGTATTATCATACGTGAAACGAATCACCAGTCAAGGTTCAATGCACGATACAGGGTACTCGGAGCTGGTGCACTGGGATGACCCAGAGGGATGGGATGGGGAGGGAGGTGGGTGAGGAGTTCAAGATGGGGAGCACATGTACACCTGTGGTGGATTAATGTCAATGTATGGCAAGACCACTACAATATTGTAAAGTAATTAGCCTCCAATTAAAATAAATAAATTTATATTAAAAAAAGAAAAAAAATGTAACCCAAGATATTAGTCTTTGGAAAAATTATATTAATATAAAAGGTGTTAAATGGTAGTTAAATTGTAATTGTTTTTGTCTTATGTAGAAATAGTTCTTTATGCTGTATATCTATGGTTTAGAAATTTTTGCACATGTAATAATTTATAATTTTATAAATAAGACAATCATTAATTAGAGTTATTGTTCATAATTAGAAATGCTTATAAATGCAATAGCCAAATACAAGAAATGATTAGTAATTTGAGAGATTATATTAATCAATTGCTTGAAAATTAACCTTTGATCATAATAAGACTAACACATTAAAGATCAACTTTTGGAAATCATTCCTTTATACATATTTCAGTCATTTAATATTAATATTCTCTCCCCCCCCCACATAGGGTGATCCTTGTCAAGATGATGATTATTCAATTGTCCACAGAAAATGCCGTTCTCAGTTCACAGATCTAGATGGTTCCAAAAGATTTGGCATCAACACTTGGCTTGACGAGAGTGGGATTTATGCCAATTCATATGTAAAACGAAAACTCTACCCATTAACAGATGGCCCTATTACTCCCTTTTTAAAATAATGTATGGAGTCAGATTCTATAACTAATGAAAGGGAGTGAATGTAACAGTTGATGATTTTCTATCCCAATAAATACAATGGAAACTTTACAATACATTCCTTTAACACAAAATCTTATATTCTACACAGTGTGTATATCCTTATTTTCATAAGCTACTCTGGTATTTCCAAAGTTTAGCATGTTTATCATTGAAGGTATGTAACAAATTCTAGATAGTACTTGGAGGTATTTTATTTAATTGTACTTTATTTTATTGACTGGATTTATTTTATTGAATAAATTTTATTAGGAAAAATACATGAAGCTAACACAGTCAAGCTCTTGTTTGCTTAGGGTATGTCTGATTTTAAAAAATGAGATAACTTCCACTTTTAAGTGAATAAAAATTTAGGTGGTGCTCAAATTCCACACGAAACTCAAATTGCTGAAATTTGAGCAACACTGGCCCTATGATGGTGTTGAATGTGTGTGTATGTGTATTGATGGGGAGTGTGTCTGTTTATAGACTTTAACATATCTGTGGTGTCTAGCTGCACTATAGATTATAATTTCAGCATGGTATTTTTCCTTATTTAATATTTAAGGAATTTTTTCCCTTTTTCCCCTTATTTAATATTTAAGGATTATTTTCCTTATTTAATATAACACCTCTTGATTGTATGGCATAACAGTCATGCAGACAGAATCTTAGTGAAACTTTAAGGGTTTAATGGAAAATCCAATCATCTAGTGTTAGATTTAGAAGAAATCTTAGCAGTTATTTTGACTTACACTTCCATTTTACAGATGAGCAGAGACAAAGTTTCAAGTAGCTTTCCTAGGGTTACATAAATAGCAGCTTCTAGTTGAACTTTGAGGTGCATTTGAACTTTCATTTTTTCTGAGGGAGGGTTTATTTATTTGGTCAGCCTAAGCTAAATTTAATCTCATTATTTTTCTTTAAAAAAAAGAAATTCATGAAATAGTATTTCATGATAAATGTTAATGTGATTAGCAAAATACAGCTGAGGACCTAAGTCTTGTGAATAGGGAAATGAAAATAAAGAAAATGTGGAAATGGCAAGGAAGCATTCACCAGCAGAGTTTTACTATATTTTCTTGCTTCTTCAGTGTCTATATGTATACACAAATATGTATGTATAAATATGTATATAATATATGAATATGTAATATTAATTCTTTATGTAGTACCTATTCTAATGGATTACCTTTCCTTCCATAGACTATAAATTAAAGTTTAATCACTCTGACCATTCATTAACATCTTTAGAATGGACAGCTGTTTGAGATAGTCAAATCTGTATGTCAAGCTACTTATAATTTGTTTTTCTTTTTGTAAGGGAAAAGTCTCAATGGCCATACTGACCTTTGAACTTGCCGTTTACTTAGAAAAAAAAATTCACCTTCTTTAGCAGGAATTCTATATTGTCACAGTGACTAACATTACATTTTACATAAATAACCTGGGTCTGTCACAAGGGATCAATTTAGAAATCAGTTTTTGTTTGATTAGGAGAATGAAATAAGGGGGGTTGTATTTAAACTAGTCGAATAAAATGATGCACTGAAAAAATTAAAGACTACTTAGATATTTCAGGAGTAATTATTTCGTGCTTATTTGGATTTCTTTAGATAACTGCTTTAATGGTTCACTCACCAGTATCAGAGACCATTTCAAACAATAAAAGCTGAAACTTAGGTATTGTTAAAGAATGTCTTCTTTAGGAAATGACTGCACTATCTTCTAATGGTTCCACACGTATACTTCCAAAGATTCCACCTGAGACACCAAAATAACGCTATATCTTGCATGCTTTTATACAGTTAGCATTCATATTTGCTCAGTACGTTTCTTTTGGCCTTTATATGGTGTTATGTCTGAGCTGTTGGTGGAGCTCTCCACGGCAGAGTGCAGACTGCTGTGGTGGTGCTTGATTAAATTTGGCCCACAATAAATTTTATTTAATCTTCAGTGGTTTTTTTCTTTAGTTAAAAAAAATTGAGCCACATTTTATAGACTAGGACATTTTACTTTAAAATTCGAATTCTTATGTCCTTGGCACATTTAAAGATCTGGAAACACTGGTCTGATTGCTGATACAGCAGCAATCATCAGGGGTATGATGGGAGGCCCTCTCTGGATGGGGTAAGCTCACCATTTTGCTGCAGTTCTCACCTGGTATACTTATTTATGGAGGCACTGTGACCCTTTACCAAAGGAGAGGTTGGACAAATATGAAATAAGTTGTAGAGGGAAAGAGGTGGTAGAAAAATGGCAAAATTGGCAGATTCTTGGTGTCTGAGATAAAGATGATAAAGGCAGAGGCCACATCCTAATAGTAGGGACAGCAAATCTGGTTGAGTTCAAGTAGGAAGCAAGATCCTGGAGTATATGTGAAGGAAAGTTACCTGGCTCAAAATAGCCTGGAGTTAAAACTCCCCTCCAGGTCCTTCCCACCATTCCATGCAAAACAAAAAACTCTCTCACCTGAAGAGAAAAAAATGGACATTAAGGTTGATTACGCCCAGCTCCCAGTGGTCCAGCCTCTGGCCTATCTCCAAAATTCCTTTCCCCAGCCGTGTAAGAGATAACTACTCCGAACAACCTTGGAGAAGAACAGGCCCCCTTAAGACAGTAATTTTCCACATACATGCCTATATATACTTACTCTTTTCTTGGGTAAGGGCAGCAGCTCACTAATCTGACTGTTGCCCCTTCTCACCTCATTAAAGGTGATCTGTTTGTCTCATTCTTAGTCTGAACCTCACCTTCTCTAACTGCATACCCTGCAATATGATGTAGAAAATAGAGATAGACAATCTTATAACTACAAGGAACTGAATTCCTCCAACAACCCAAATGAGCAGGAACAGATTGTTTCCAAGAGCCTCTGGAAAGGATCACAACCTGCTAACACCTTGATTTTATTCCAGTGAGAGCTGGGCCAGACTTCTGACCCCAAAAGCTGTAAGATAATACATTTTTTCAAGCCCCCCAAAAAGAAAATAGAGATGGAGAGTGGGTGGATGGCTTCACCTTAGAAATACTGAATAAAATCTCAGATCCACTGGCTTATACTAGGAATCCCTTTGTGCTGAGGCAGGAAGTGAGTATTTTTTTCAAATGTTTATTTATTTATTTATGGCTGTGCTGGGTCTTCATTACTGCATGGAATACTCTCTAGTTGTGGGCACAAGCTTCTCATTGCAGTGGCTCTCTCGTTGCTGAGCATGGGCTCCGGGGCACGCAGGCGCAGTAGTTGTGGCTCCCAGGTTTTGGAACGCATGCTCAGCAGTTGTGGCACACAAGCTTAGTTGCCCCATGATATGTGGGATCTTCTCTGACCAGGGACAAACCCATGTTTCCTACATTGGCAGGCAGATTCTTTACCACTGAGCCACCAGGGAAGCCCCTCACTGGTTTATTTACAGAGGAAAATCACTCCCTGAATTCCAGTGCTCATTTTTCTAGAGGCACAGAAAAACTCCAGATTTGCCAAGACCCTATGCAGAATGGTAAAAGTCCTTTCTATGGGACATAGAGTACAGGTAGGTGGCAGGGTGGGTGAGCCCATAGAATTGCTGGTATTGCTACTATCAACAATAGAGAGGCAGAAAGATCCTTTCTTAAAGTTTTTCTGGCCAAAAGCTAACTTTATTTCAGAGTGAGCAGGAGGGCAGTTTGCCAATACCCAGTAGTCATGTCCGACTCTATTGGCCCTCTAAATAGCTGTGGTGGAGTAAGCCTAAGGCAAATATTGTAATAAAAGTGGAAAACCCAAACAAAACCCCACACAGTAAATCAGTGTTCCAAATATTAAGATCATAAGCTTTATCAAAAATTTAATAGCTTTATTGAGATATGATTCACAAATTATAAAGTTCCACCTTAAAGTGTGTAATTCAGTGATTTGGGATATATTCATAGAGGTGTGTTACTATCACCACAATCAATTTAGAATGTTCTCACCATCCCCAAAGGAAACTCCTTACCCATTAGCTGTCATTCCCCATTGCCTCCCCATCTCTTGGTTCTGAACAACCACTAATCTACTTTCTGTCTCTATGTGCATGTATGCATGTGTGAATGCATAGTCACTTCGGTCATGACAGACTTTTTATGACCCTTTGGACTGTAGCCCACCAGGCTCCTCTGTCCATGGGATTCTCCAGGCAAGAATACTGGAGTGGGTTGCCATGCCCTCCTCCAGGGGATCTTGCTGACCCAGGATCGAACCCATGCCTCCTGCATCTCCTGCATGGTGGCACCGAGCCACCTGGGAAGTCCTTTCTGTCTCTAGATTTACCTCTTCTGGGTATTTTATGTCAGTGCAATCATATGCATGGACTTTTGTGATTAGTTTCTTTCACTTACAATGTTTTGAAGGTTTCATGTTAAATGAAATATCAGTGCTTCTTTTGCTGAATAATATTCCATTTTATAGCTATACTACAGTTTATCCATTTATCAGTTGATGGACATTGGGATATTTCTGTCGTTTAACTATTAAAAATAATGCTGCTATGAATATTTATGTATGAGTTTTTGTGTGGACATATGTTTTCATTTCTCTTGGGCATATAGGTAACAGGGAAACTGCTGGGTCATATGTTAACTCTATGTTTAACCTTTTGATGAACTGCCAAACTATTTTCTAGTGTATTTTACATTTCCACCAGCAATGCTTGAGGATCGCAGTTTCTTCATATACTTGCCAACATCTGTTGTTTTCTATTGTTTTGCTTATAGCCATCCTAGTGGGTGTGAAGTAATATCTCATTGTGGTTTTGATTTGTATTTTCCTGATGGCTAGTAATGTTGAGCATCTTTCTATGTGGTTATTGACCATTTGTGTATCTTCATTGGAGAAGCCTTTATTTAGATCCATTTTCCAGTTTAAATTGGGTTATTTAGCTTTTAAGATCATAACCTATTTGTAATATAATTTTCAAAAAATTGAAACACATAAATCTGAAAAAAAAGAGTTGTTGGTTTGAGAAGTAGCTTGGGAGATTTCATTTATAAACAAATACTGGAGTTTCTATTCCAACACAACAGAATATTTGAAAATGAATAGAATCTGGACGATCTTGTAGGAAAGCACTGTCAA